ATCCTCAGGTATCTTGAGATCAATCTTCAAGTCTCCACGCTTAGTCTTTCTGGCTGCTTTCAATGTTCGTACTCTGAAGCAAGCAGGACAAAAAGCTGCTCTTGTTCTCACACTGGACTTGCTTGGAATTGATGTGTGCCGTGTATCAGAAGCATGAATTCAAGATGCAAGCACGTTGGTTAAGATAACCGCCACATCGCCTTTTGCTCGCTTCCGATCTAGTGCTCTATAGGCTCCTGCGGTAGGCTGTGCAGGGTTCGGTATTGACTTGCGTTAGTGAGTGGAAGAATCCTTGCTTGACTGGATATTCGTCGATAGTCGCTCGTTTGCCGTTCGCCTCGCAACGTCTGTGAAGTAGTCGTACAAGCGGTAATTTAATCGTTGTCCGTTTGTCGTGTCTGGTTGCGCTCCAACCGAGTTTAGCTCTGACACCATCAAAGACAGGTTTTATGATGCCCTGATTTCCTTGTTGCAGCGATCTTGAAGCTCGGATATCCTTGTTTCCAGGGGCCTGAATGCACATGTGGGTGGGCTTAGCGTATCTGGTACTTGTATCTGGACGTACGGACAGTGGTGAACGTTGTTTCAGCTATGTGCTGAGCGCAGGCCGTTTTTATACAGTATTTACTTCCGAGATAGCCGAAATAGTCTAACCACATGGTTTCCTTCAAACCATGCCACCCACGAACTCATCACGCTGCCATCACATACCGATGCTGCTCGTTTTGGAACACATTTGTAGATTTCTACCACGTGCCCACCCGGAGTCGCTTCTCCCTTCGTTTTCCGGGGACGCGCAGGGTTCAGATAAGTCACTTGGTAACTGAGAAACAGACAGATCCGGATGTCAGATGAATTTACCAGAGTCTTATTCTAAAGTTCATCATCACCATCGTCATCGACAGCATGAGGTTCAGATAACTTGGTAACTGAGAAACAGACAGATTCGGATGTCAGATGAATTTACCAGAGTCTTATTCTAAAGTTCATCATCACCATCCATCGCGACAGCATGACATCAGTGTTCAACACCAACGCTTCACTGCCGTACAACCATGACTTATTTGAAAGCCCTATTATAAAGAAAAGAGTAAAGGTGGACGGAGGAGGGACTTAGTATTAGCTTAACACAATCATTCCGAGGTGCCTACACCTCCAGACATTCACTCAGGCAATCTGGATAGAAACTGACAACAGGAACGCCACTGATATCGGTTGGCAGCCATATATTGTAGTGTCTCCAACCAGGCACAATGAGGATCACGCGGTCCCCATCCGGGAAGGCGAGTAGCACCGACAGCACCCAAGCGTTTCGTGATCTCCTTCATACTCCTC